ATTATTATTATTATTATTATTATTTCAATTAATTTAAGTTCCATTTTCGACACAGTTTACCAGCGATTTCTTTACCAGCTTTATTGCTAATTTAATTAAGACTAACAATCTAATGTTAAAATATTCCTCTAAAACAGTACTACCACATTTATTATATATTTCATTTATTGATTTTTTCTTTCTATCTATGTGGAAAGTGGTAATGCCTATTCTAAAGTTGCGTAAATCATTTAGACCAGCGCCAAAATGGGCGATACTACTCTTTGATGAACGTTGGAATGATTCAGGAGGATGATAATAGTCTTTGGACAATAATTAAAAGAGTTGAATAAAAATAGGAAGACGATGAAAGAAGAATAAAGAAACAGAAAATAAAAAAATTTTAAAGAATCGTCCGCACATGTTTTATCTGTTGTGTAAAATAGAAAATCGTAGATTAGATATTTCATTTTCAAAATAAACATACAAAATCCAATCGATTATAATTTTAAATTTTAATGTGTCATATTTGCAATAACATCTTTTTTTACTATATTGGAGGACATAAGTAGAAATATAGATACATAAAATGACACAAATTTGTCACTGCATTTTTATATTTATTGAAGAATATAAGAAGGTAGATTTTTCAGGAAGACGAGTAATTTTTTATCTAAAAAAGAGTCGGAAGGCCAAATAAGTTTGGGAATCTTTGATCTAAACAATTTCAGTTTCAGATCAATACGTTTATTTTAACAAATTCAATTTGTTTATTTTAACAAATTTCCATTAATCTGAAGCTAGAAAGTAGAAACATTTCCTGGTCTGGACAAATAATTTTGATATATTCTATACATAAATTTATCTTATTTAATTTCAATTTGCTAAATACAATACTACATATAACAATAATCACAATATTTATCACAGATGATATTATAAATTTTAATTATTTAATATACTTTTTTATAATTAATTTATATATTTATATGCATTGATTCAAAAATAAATGATGAAAGTAACAATTTAAAATATAAAACATAATATACATAATTTTAAACACATATATATACTGTGTTTACTAAAAAAAGAATAAAATTTGAACAAACTGTACCATCCCCTAGCATAAGATGAAGATAAGAATATGTTGAAAATTTCTTCTAACAATTGTGCAACACTATTGTGATTTATTATATAATTAAAAACTAACATGAAAAATATAATTATTATTTATTTCATTTTCTTGAAAATAATCAAAAAAATTAAACAAATTTTGTTCATATCATTTAAGTTTCTAATCTCTATTTTATCAAATACTTTTTTAAAGGAAAAGTTTTTAAAAAATGTTTATAAAAAAATGTTTCATACAAAAGTTTCCTCTTTTTTACCACAAAATAAATATCTCTAAAAGAAATATACTTTCCCATTTGCAAAAAGAAAGTTGACCTTCAAATAATCTTAGAGATGCTTAACAAATAAAAAGCAACAGTTGTACTCTATAACAGTCACACTCTGAAACTTTTGTATTGAACATTTTTCCAATAAAAGGTTGTACATCAAACATACCTTAGTTGTCTTTGTAATTTTCGACCAACTTGTCCTTTTCGCCCATGTTTACCCCACTGTTTTTTAGATTCACATACTAATCGCTAAGGTTGTGAATTGTTACTGCTACTCGTATTTTCTCCTTGGCTTGCAGAATCCAACGAAATATCTCGTCGCCTATCTATACTATGACTAAAATCATTATTATTAATATTTTAGATTCTCTTAAAATTAAGTAAGAAACATTTGAAAACAATATAGAACTATGTAAATAATATACAATACTAAAAAACTATATAAATAATATACAATACTAAAAAACTATGTAATAATATAAAATTATATACATATTATGTTACATATATAGTGTTTAAAACATTTAATTCTTATTTCTTTAGATAAATATTTTACCCGAAAAGTATAACATATTCATTTCATTTTATATTTATCTAATATTTATTTAATCTTGCAATGATCAGTAGAAGTCAAGTTGCATTATAGTTTCCTACTATATATTCTTGTAATTAAGACCAAAATATTCTCCGAAATATTTCACTTTGAAATATGAACCTTCAATGTTAATATACCGTTAGTATTAACAGATAGTATTTAAACAATAATATTTTTCAACAATATTTGAAGATATGGAACGAGGATACGGAATTGTTGACGTATATAAAAATTTGTAGAAGTAATATTACAGAAGAAATAAAATTCTTTCAAAAGAAGATAAACTTATTCAAGCAAACCATCAAATATTTAAACATTTATTAATTTCATACATGATTGATGGCACACGTACACAAAATTGAATCTGTTTAAATCAAGCAACTATCCTATAGCGTACATTAGATAATACTAATGCTGGCGTGACTAAACTTTTAAAACAATTTTTATCTCAAGAATAACTTATACACAGATCATAAACTTGATTTCTGTTAAATTTTGCAGTCATTTGCAGCGTGTGATACTAATCTTACAATGTAGCACCACAAAGTGTACGAAAGAATTTTATGTATAATATAGATATAAAAGAAATGATGCAATTTACATTCATAGTATTTTTTATATTTTACATATGTGTATATTTTCATATTTTCCTGTTTTATTTTTATTCTTCTGTATCTTCTGGTATATTTGCCTAAAGAAATTAAAATAATAATCAATTATTATTATTCACTTACTCTTTATGAATAAAAGAAGAACTACTCCGAGAAGTTTCCTCCATTCTTTCCGGAAAAGCACGGGAACTTGTCCGATCAGTTCCATAAGATTTGCTAATTTGTACAATTTCTGGTTGATGACCGTCAGATCGTTTATATCTTTCATTTGAATTTTCATTATTACTTAATATTTCAGGTTCGTCTACCGGTAAACACGTTTCCACCATGGCTTCCAAGCAATTAACAAATAATTGAGCGCTTTCAGCTGTGCAATTAGACTACAACATAGTAAACATTAATTTTTAAGTAAAACAGTCAAAAGAATTGCATAAAATTTGAATTACCTAACTTTTTAATATACAAATTTAAAAAATCAT